TTACATCAGTCCTCTCTTCGTTTTCTTCGTCTTAAGGACACGAAACTCTAGCGTCGCACATAAATGACAGCCGGTGTGTGAATCTAAAAAAAAAATACTTAGCATACATTGATTGAACCCGATCTGAAGACGCATAGATGAAATTTCTTTAAGTGCGGTTTACCTAAAATCATGACTCTCAAACGTCATAGATAAACATATCCTTCTGATAGATAATGGCCTGATCAGCTCAACGTATGTGTCCTACATAGCGCGTCCAACGTATGGGATCAGTAAAGATGAATTTATTATCTGACAGATTTCGACCGCAAAGAGCATGTTGTTTCAGGACAAAAGCATTAGATGATAAACAGAGTATGGTGATGTATACTTCTAAATACGAAACAGGCGTTTTTGCGTATGTATTTCATATTCTATAGTTCAAAAAAAGCGAGCACTCAAAGCTTTTGTATTCCACGGTAGCGCCCTAAAGGCGAACTATAATGTAAAATGTAATGGATACATTGTTGCATTTTGTAAGCGGGGCATGCGTGCAAACCTTTGGCAAAGTTTCACATTTCTTGTATTTTTATGAACGTAAATATTTACTAGAGGATAATAGACCTATCCCATGATGTAACAAGAAATGCTAGCATCATTCATGTTATTTTTGGTAAAAGCACTGAGCAGAGTTTAAGTTGACGACTCATGCTATATCTGCAATTGTTCTAAATCTAATTAAGCAATACTGGAACGTTTTCTGCAGAGTGACACCGGCAAGACCCCGTAGAAATTCGACTAAAATAGAAATTCTCTGTGTAAACAAATAATTTTTGCCAGATGGGCCGCTGGATGGTGTGATTCATCTACAAATGCTTCGGAAAAATAATACAAAGTCACTGACAATTTCTCTTGGAAAGCTCGCAAATATCAAAACTCGACGGAGCGTATGTGAGAATCATATGGAAAAATCAGCACCAAGTAGTTGTTATTATTAGATGGTCTATATTCTTTTTAAAGCTGGCAGTTCTTACTTGGTAGAGGCAGTCCGTAAGCTCACTGTCGCAGACAGCTTTCTTTACCAGACCAACTCCGCAACCACGATATCCGCTAAGTTCCAATTAGCACTTACCAACTATAGACACGCCTATCGTCTTCCTTTCACCGTCTTCAATAATTTAGTCTATCTAGTAAAGAGCGTGTATTAGTAAGGCATATAAATATGTAGATATGCTAGCATTTGTTAAAACATTCGCCTTGCTCGAAAACTATGGATAACTTATTATCATACTAATTTGCCTTAACTGCAATGCCTGACATGATATCTTACAGAACTTAATTTTCTACTACTTGCAAATACACTTCTTCCATGGCTCATCATACCTCTATGTCTCGCAAACGGAATAGTGAAATCTGTGCACTGCAAATCCGGTGGCTACATAATAGTTGTTTTTGTTAGAGCATATCTGATAGTAACAAGTAGCCACTGGCGACGTGAAAAACGTAGGATCGACTTTAACTTACGTCTATCTATGGAAGCATGATAAGTCAGTTGAACGTTTTATAGATATTCTCAGCGAATAAACTGTCGGCCAACGGACACGCTAGACCGTTTCAGCGTTGAAACGGCTAGCGCGTCCGTTGTCCGGCTACTAATTCTAGGAACACGAGTATCACTGCTATATATCGAATGCCAATTTTTCCGCAGATTACCTAAACACTGCAAATGGCAGTCGGTCCCATCTTCAAATTGGCTGTAATATTTATCGATAGCTTTCGCGGTTTTCCGACAAGGGCAACTGCTATCATCACTCTTCTAACTTAACATATGTCGGCTTAATTTTAGCAAACATGTGGAAGTACAGCATAACATACATCGGGAAAGATCATACCAGCTGTATGTGCCATTTTTTTTTTATATATCAAACGTGTCCCAAACTATAGAACTATAGAAAGTGTCTGCTTTTGATACCATGTTGTAGCTAATTAGATTTACTAAGAACGTGTATATTGCAAGGGTCAGTTCAGAGCTACCCCGCTTCAGACTGACGTAGGTCTATAAACGTGCTCCGGCAGTAGACTAAGTCGAAAATGTAACTGGCCTGAACACGAAATCTTCAGACAAATACAACATTGAACTGATTTGTACCTTGCATACGTCTGGGTACTGAATGAGCGTATTGCTACATGCAGAAACAAATGTATGGAGTGTCCAAGGTGAACAAGTGAAGGTTCTTTGTTTCCTTATTCTATTTTAAGTTAAAATATGGTGCAACCCGGGTTCCAGAACTGAAACGGTATTCAGAATGACCAAGAAGAAACCCTGCATTAAGCCCTACAATCTACGAAATAGAAATATCAAGAGACTTTTCACTTGAATCAAGCCTGAACTTTAAAGTATAACCTGGTATGCCAAGCTGTATGATTGTCTAGTAACAAAATGGAAAATAAATAACCACGATTATGTCAGCTCTAGCCCTCTAATGTGTTAGTCCAAATGTAGTGAAAGCAGACGTAGTTAGATCTGTACTTCAATGAAAAAAATAGTAAATTTACTTTTCGAGTACTCGCTTTTTACGTCGTCCCTCAGGATACGTCCAATAGCTGCGCTTAACCGATAATTTATCAAGCTTCCTATAATTTGATGCGGTTCCATTCAGCTTTTCGAGTGGGTATTTTTCAATCAGCTATACACAGAGAACTTTATTTATTTTAGGCTCGATCTGCTATTATTATTATTAGCATGTATCGGCCTGTCCGTTCATACTAGCAAGTTTATATTACACTAGTAAGTATACGAGCTCTAAATTGTTTTCAAGTGTTTTGAAGTGTTTGATTGTCCATTTAAAAGAGCCCGCTCAAGTGGCCTAAGCCCACATGGAAAACTAAAGAACTCTAGAGGCCCTAGGTAATAGATACGCAAATATTTAAAAATAGGTCCCAGTTGTGTTTTATGTATGGCTTTTCTTTTACTAGTAGTGTGTAGAAAAAACAGTAGAAAAAATCATCACACTGCAAACAGGCTTCTCATTGAAAAACGTACGAGCACGTCCGACTGAAAACAATCGTACTATTTTCCTATTTTGTTTCTCTTTTTTTTCTTCTTCTTAATATTGATTTTGTTCAAAGAAAGCATTCACTAGCTTGTAACTAGTAATACAATATAAATACAGAGAATTTGACTTGACTAATTATAGTCATAATTGGAGATCAGGAAGGCGAAATCCCTTCCGAATTGTTGTGATACTAGGCGCGTTAAGCCATTGCCTGTCAAATATTGTTGCCTTACGATTCTGTTTCTCCTCATATGTTCTGCTATCAAGGCTAGATGTATACATTTTACATAGAAGCCTTATCTAGAAACGGTTTAGATATAATTGTTTTTGCAGGCTAGATGAAAGTGTCTCTTCTCCTATCTTCTTGAGCCTATTTATGCAGATGAGTTTACTTCGAAGGACCCGTTGAGACGAACGAAGAGGTAAAAAACGATTTACGAAACTCAATCGAGATCATTCTTTATTTTAATTGGATTTGGTAACAATATATAAATGTAAATTTGTACAACATATTGAAGTTACAAAAAAATAGCTGCACCTGAAAAATGTTTTCGCTAAAAGCAAGCTAGTTTTATTTGCTCAGCGTGCATATTATTGGGGTGAGCCTTTTTCATTTAAAATTATGTATAGTGTATCAACTCTCTGCGGGTGAATCAGGGGCAATACAACGAAATAGTAAAAAGCCTTGCAAACGGTCTAGTATTTGGCAAGCATGTAAAAGCGTAGATCTTTGATGCGTCATCCAGAACCTCATTTCCTATTCTGAGACCTCTTTGGACATTACTATAGGATCCGTAGGGTGTGTGCTCGATTTCGCGGCCCCGCAGACTCTCTCAGAGTCCTTCCGGTCTTGTCGCGCTCCGACTGTTATGGCACAAGCCAAGTACCCCCCCGGCCATCTGTTAAGAGGTTAATGTGTAACTTCAGTTTGTGATTAGCGCGACTCGTTTCCAGGTATTTCCTAAAGAAGTCCGTGGATTTTAACTGCAATACTCATTAAATGTTCATCTATGGCGTCTGTATTTACTTTATTACTACATACTTTAACAAGTGCCACCTGGCGTTAACGCTTGTTGTCGTACCTAATATGCGGTATGCAGTATGGCTATCGGTTTACTGCATGAGACATTTTCATATGCTCATTCCGTCCTGTACCTCAATAGGCCAGAAAGGTCGTTTTAACGAATGGTTTGTACCAGAATTCCAGCTGACATGGCATTTCGTTACGAAGTTCATTATTTTCTACTTTCAGACGAATGCGATTGATGCCGGCGTTCGTTTTCATGTGACTTTTCACCTTCTAATTTCCTCATCTTTACTTGCGCGTCTACTGTGTTCTTCGAATTGTCTACATCGGTACAAATCATCGTTGTTCTAATTAGGTCATCCGACCGATGGCTATGCATTTTTTGCCCCCTTGCTTGGGAGTCGACTAGGGCCAAGCAAACAATATATATATATATATATATATATATATCTACGATAGTCGAATACCAGCTTCCGATAAAGCAAACTGACCCTGAATTCTAAGAAGCAAAGAGTTGTCGACCTGTATATCGTAACAGATGGTCGGATCGGACCCCCTGTAACAGTTTGCGTAACGTATCCTTATTCAAACATTGTTTTCGAGTAATGTAGCAATACACTTACGTAGATAGCTCAGAATAAACAATGATATTGTCTTGTCTGACTTACTATTATTTGCAGCCGATGTTTGTTACTCATAAGCTCTTCGAGCCAATATTCGCGTAGATACTTTCGCTAAAAATAACATAGAAATAAGTAACTTGCTCAAAGAGTTTAGTAACTGATAATCAAATCGGTTTCATTACGACCCACTTCTACGTCGCTGGTCGGCGTTGCAACTTAGTAGGGGGTTTTACTTGAATTATTATGAAAATTTACATTGGACGCTCTTTGATAAAGTTTGATAAAGTCGTTCTATATTTATTTACGATTTGAACTATATATATATATATATATATATATATATATATATATATATATGAATTGAAGCAAAGCGAGACCATCGACATCCAGCTAGTAATCGGTGGTTTAGCCGGCTAGAGTAGAAGATCATTAAAGCCTTAGCGACCGCTTTAGGGAAACTGGTAATTACTGTCACATAGCTAATTAACTAGTTTTAAATAGTGTTTTTTAATTTGACATAATTGCAATATATGTTCCTTAACCTCAAGGAAACTTTATTCTGACCCATCATCTATGCTAGTGATCTGAACGTGAGCATACTCCTAGTTATTATACGATTGAAGTGAAACAATAGGTGGGGTCCTTTAGTTGATACGGTCACCTATGGCTTATGAGAAGCTGATGTGATGAAATAGACGTTATCGTTATCCTATTGGTCGATAATTATTTCCGTTTCTGGAAATATTTTTCACTGTTTCGTTGTGAACGATATTCAGTCGGATATGAAAAGTCTACTCGTAGTGACGTATAGTGTATTTTCGAAAAACTTCGGGTAGACTATAGGGGACTAATGCGTGGAGTCAGCAATAGAGATCAGTTACAGCAAAGACGAAACGTAGATTTCATCATTTTGCTGATACTGAATAGAAAACGGCTAGTGAAGCGGCGGGCGCGTATATATAGATATGATCAGGGGGTAATTATGTACTAATCTAACAATAAAACATTAATAAATGTTACATAATAGTATGCTCGTTTGGCTATAAATGAGGATGCATCATCTTATCCATTACCTAATTCTCATTGATTCACAGATACTGACACAGAAAGATCCATGGCAACATTGACAGCCTTTCAAATGTTATCAAATTCACTTCCGACAAAGAACCAATATAGTATAAAATACTAAACAACATCTCTATATAGAGTTTTAGATAATCACACTGTGAGGTTCCACGTTCTTAGATACGTTTCGTTTCTTGAACGTTTAACACGTTGCTCAATGTTGTTATTACTACTATATCTTAAGTAAAAAAAAATAAAGCGAAACTTAAATACGTACATTTGCTAATTTAAATGATCATATGGTTGCCTATGCATAGCTCTACAATAGCTGTTTGTAAATATCGATCCTTTGCGCACCGTGTACTTCTCTGGGTAGGACTACATCAACAAATCCAACAGAACTACGCGCATGACTCAAAGCTGCACAACATAATTCACGCAAATGTGTTTACATACTATGTTATGGAACAGTCCAACTAGCCTTGATTAGAAATCTCTAGCTTTAAAGGGCCTTGCAAACTGTGGCGCCCGTGTCTGTCAACCCCCCAAGTGAGAATTAAATAAGCCCTCCGCTTTGCTTTGCTACTACGAGAGCTTCTCTTCGTACACAGGTCAAAACATGTTGTTTGAACAGATTACTGATACTCCACCGAATCTTACGCCAGCTGCCTTCCGGACGGTACAGTCGCTTGCTTCGAATGGCTGCCGTTTCTGTGCTTCTAGCCGCTAGTCGCCAGCTGGGCTTCAAGCGACAGTATCCTTCTTCGAACACCCACGTGTGCTGCTAGCTTTCTTCCCTTTCGCTTGTTACAACATTCAAACAATAGGCCTGTTACGGAATATTAGAAATATCACATGAAAGCGACATACACATAGTCCTATAATAGAAGGACGATTACGCTCGAACAGGTAGCGGTTACGAAACATCACGGGCGTCGTTAGGTGCGAGAAACTCGGTGTACTAATCAAAATGATCTCGACATAGCACAGTAGCTTTCTGTAACATTGCTATACACCGCCTGAATGGCACAGCTTCCGTGCAAACAGGGTGCAAAAAAACTGAGTATTGCTTATTGCCAGGCAGATGAAGCGGGAAGCGTCCTGAGGTCGTTGATGCGCTGGCGAAAACGATATTACATAATGATTTCAGATGCAATGGAGTAGAGTCTGCAGACATCTTGTTGAAGCCAAACAAGCAACGTGGGTTGTAACAGAGTCAGGAATCAGCCGCGTAACGATGCTAGACAAACGTTACTGAAACGGAGTGAAATATCAGTATAAATGTGGAGTTTTTTAAACCAGAGATGGTTTACCCTAATCTGCTCCCAACCTAAATGCTCATGGCTTGAATGCTAGATGTTGGGAAGCTATGAAATCATAGAGAGCTGGAAGAAACGGTGATTAACGAACCGGAACTTTTCTAAGAAATATCTTATACAACATTGATACGTGATAGAATAATAGAAGTGTTTCATACATGCTTACCTATACGTTTGTTTTTATCTTAAAGTGAATTGGTTCCAAGCATCTTCGGCTGGTCTTTAAAAATCGGACTACGAAAAAACCATGCTACTGTCAATACGATTTGTTTGTTAGCACAGACATTATTGCCCTAATATAATATTATTATCCGTCATATATTTTCACAGGTGTATAAACAAAATTCCGTTTTGGATGGGCAGATACGAACATTTTTAACTGGCACGCGGATAATAGGATAATGATGTGAAGTTACAGATGTTCACAGTTTAACAAAAGCGATGAATCAGATGATGATGCATACTAGTGTGATAACTTACTTTCCAGTTGATACGTTGCCGACGGAAATAGTACGTAAAAAATTTAGATTCGCTAATAGTTGACGCATTGCAGAACAACATACACAATGTTGGCCGCTATACCGTAACGTAACATTGATCAAGAAATTCTCCGTCCCTAAATTTGGAGAAAGAAACATACACTAGCTAACTATTTGTCTAGGCACAGCATGTGAAGGCATCAATTAATGTCAATTTGATAAACTTGTACGCTTCCTACACCCGGTCGTTGAACCGATACGAATGTGTTCCGTAACAGTCGGTACGACTGTTACGTTTATCCTACATGGGGCCTGATCTGATATAACAATCGACAGGACGAATGGGGCTGTCGAGTAGCTCCGCTGGATTTGGGCATCAGTAACGTGTACCAAATCACATTACACATACAACCGAACACGATCTGTCGACATCGGCATACTGCATAGAGCACCCGAGATGAACTCTGCACCACAATGGACGTTCAGTATAACGGGCAGATAGCCTGAGGTGACACGACCAGATATATGTAGAAATGGTCGTACTGATGAGCTACCCATTGTAGCAGCAAAAGTAACAGGCTTTAGCTTGTTTTCAACGTCCCTGACAGATGTCGACGTGAATTTGATCTGTCTTATGTTTAGCTTATGCTGTCTAGAATATTGGCCGTAACGAAATACCTCCATGCGCCCTGACATCTATGAATTGTCTATACTGTTATAACGTTCCCTTAACTTGGTCGAGATCCCATACGGGAGAAACAATTCATTAGGTTATGTACGACACATAGTGCTATAATTAGGTTGGCCCTGACACGGGAGCTAGTTGATACGGCGGCACAATGACTAGACAGTCAGCAAATTTCACAACAACTATCATTCCCCTTCTGACCTACAAAGGAGACAGGCCTTCGACCAATCGACTGTCGACATCGATGCTCAGCTGAGAAAACCGAAGCCGACCGGGCTTGTTTGTGCAGCGCCAAACGAAGTACTGTCACAATGTGTCCTTCACGCAGGGATCCATCGTACTTAGCTTGCCCATGCGGTAAAATGGTACGGTGAAGCAAAAAGAAAAACTTACGGCAATACATTTAGTCGAAACATGCCCCAGCTAAATAAATAGACTAATGCTGCATATCTATTGATATAAGCTGTATGTATAACTATGGATAAATGTTCTAGTGAACAAGCCGTGCATTTGAATAGATTCGAATAGGACTAAGGGTGCTGACGTTTTTTCTCCTTTTTAATAGAAACAGTAGTACTTTCCTGTTTCATATTTTTTCCTAACCGTTTTTTCCGAACTAACTTAGAGAGATAAGTGAGCAAAAATATTTAGCAGTAAAAGAAACAGCTAGGGGTCCATAAGCTTTGTATTTCCTATGAATGCTCTTTAGCTTATGCTGTACTGGTAGGTGATGTTTCCAATATCTAACGAATATTTGCTCGTTTCGACCGTTAGCCGCCTAGTCACCCAACACTTTACGGAATATTACGGTAGTTTATCCTGGTCTTCCAGGTCGGATTGGAATTGATTTTCCAGCTACCGGTAATGAATTCTATGGCTTGGGAACCGAGTAACTGTTACTAGGACGCCAAGGAAGATCTCCGGGTTTCGGGCTGTATGAAGAACTAATCAAGAAGATAATTTTGTTTGCTCCATAATCTGCCCTCGGATCGATCGACAAGATCAGCAAGGTTTTCACGTTCAGCGAGATTAATACTCATATCTACTAGCATCCACGAAAAAGTCGAAGACACGATTGACTTGCGTGTCTCTACCGTTCTCGTTTGTGCTTAATGGCCTATTCACCTGTGACAATATTTGAATCCAATTTCGATAGTGTACAATGGGTTTATGAATCTTTTTTTTGTTAAAATAAAGAGCCAACAATACGCGAATATACCCTTTTGGCTCGAGCGTATTTAAATAGAATCTATACGCAGCTTGGTTTATTTAATAAGCGTACAAATTCACCATTAATAGCTAGCTAGCTAGCTACAACGGACCAGTTGCCGTGAGAGGTCGAACGCTGTCATACAGTGCACGTGCTTTACCTCTCTGCACTAATCCTGCTTGCTTAATGCGAAGTTTCTTCGTCATTGTTTCTATTTGTTGTTGATAGAACGCTCGAGCCGTAGACGACGATACTAGACAACAATCCCATTAACCTACTGAATATCCACATACAAATGTAACTGTCTGCGATTATCGTAGAGAATCTATTTTTCACAATTTGGTGTAAGAATGTATTCGTAAAAACACGTAGAAGCCTGTTCAAATCGTGTGTCACATTTTTTTTTGCATTACTTGACCGATGTGAGCAAGTATGACTGTTTCTATATACATACATACATACATACATGCATAAAACCTCGATGGGCAAAAACAACTGCGCACATTGAGATAGCTCGGATTCTATCGCTACCCTCGACTCTTTATTACTCTGCTCCTCACAAAATGTCTAGCGGAACCCGTATCTGAGTACAAATATCCAACCTGGATCTTTTGAACCAGCGGCCTCCAGTGTTCCTACTAGTGGAACCTACATCGAACATAGAATTTATGGGGTGAGCTGTCTTCGTGCTTGTCGTTCCAGAACGAAGATGATAGGTGTAAACAGTTCGACCTTGTGATTTTTCATTGCTCACTACAACTCGATCGCTGAATGGCAATTGGCCCGTAAACGATCTCACGTCTTGAAGCGTGCATCTCTTTGCGTCCGAAGCGCAAAAATGAAATACAGTCATTTTAAAGGCTAGCTAAATATTCATACTGAACAACCTAATGCATTGACGGTAGCTCCTCTGGCTAATCTGGATAATATCGGATCTGTGACTAATCCCGAATATTGTGTCCACGAATAACATAATTTCCAATAGTATATCGAGAAACAACACTTTCGTAAACAAACGAGTCAACAACCTGTTAAATGTTGATTTAGGACAGGGTGCCGCGTAATTATGCCCCGCGCTATTATATAATTATTATGATTTTCAATGCAGCGATACTTGCGCGAGAGCAAGCGTACCAATTATTTGTATTCGAGCAATTCGTATTGATTATACGGTTCAGTATTACGAAGTCTTCAGCTAACTCAGCGTTTAATCCACTCCATGCCGAGTTTCTAAATGAGCGCCTCAGTGATGAATCTTTGACGGGTAGAGACGCGTTAACCAAGCCGCCAGGTCCGATTTCGACTATTTTTTTGCTTTTAGGCCAGCTTTCCTCACGACGTAGCCTGCTCAATATTAAAAAAAAACACACACACACATAGACTTTAGAAGCATTATTTGCATTTGGTTACGCCAACAAGGGCGAAGAGACAAATCAGTTTACAATTAAAAACGCACTTGAAAAAAGCTGAACAAATATGCAAGTGTCTACGGTCGTACACTGTTGATATAAGAGTATGAACAAGACCTGATATTTGTCGAAGCCAATAAAAACACAACTCGGACAGGCGCTACGAGGTGCATTGTGTGGATTTACATGCGCCTCGTCCATTGTGGTTTAGCCGTTGCATCTCTTGGCTCCACCGTTGGTTTCAGTGGACACACGCTGAACTATGTCCGCGCAGAACAGTAAAGGCACCCATTCACAAACAAGTATTATAGTTAAAGCAAAAGTGTTTCAAAATGGACCAATACTCACAGACATGCAAGTCATTTACGTTTGAAGCACCACGAGACACAAAGAAGAAGAGGGCTATCTTCATAGACATATCTGTATACGGTAACAGTAACCACATGTAACAACACAATTATCACTAAATCGTGTTAGATATAGACAAATTTATGTCAGTCATTTTTGTGTATGAACGTATCTAGGCGGTATATTCAAATTAATGGGCCTGGTCAAAGAAAATTCTCATTGAAGTACTGCAGTGTATGACGTTCTTCGGTTCCTGATCCATATAATACCACGTTTTGTACAGATGCACGTAACTTCTAGCAAACTAAAAACCTAACGCACCACGTAAAATACGGCCAAATCTAGATGCTGCAAAGCGCGCATATCAACAACACGGTACAGCAATGCTCTCCAGTTGAACACGAGCGTCTGTAAACATTTTTAGTGAACTTCAGGTAATTCATGTTGTGGCGCACGGAAATATAGAATGAGAAACACATTCTAATGACGGTTAATCAAACGTTCCCTGCTTATAGTTCGGTAAAAATTGCTTTATCGTACAAGCCTGAGGCTTCAACTGGGTATCAAAGCAACGTGGTCATAGATGCTCGGTGTCAATAGAACAACTGAAATGTCCGCCGACTTAGCTGTTCCGGCAGGTCTGAACGAAAGCCTCTTGGCATCCCTATTCCCCCATTGATGTTCAGCCATTAACCGAGTCTACATTCCCCAGTTCCCATTCAAGCCCCAACATACAGTAATATCGGCCAGTCCGCAAAGTAGTATAGGTCAAACTCGTTTGCGCTGTACACTTCCTTATCGTGCTACTATTAAGTCAAGTTATTATAGGCTTTTCGTTATCAAGATATTCCTGGTGATTAAAAATCGTCCGAACTAGGATCATAGCTAGGTCCTGTCAGAGGGGGATCTACGGAGGCTTCTTCGGCGACCCCAGAAATAGCTGCTTTTATAAGGGTATCTGGCTAAAGTAAAAATTAAAGCAACATTTTAATAATAGCTCGTACGATAGGTTAAAAAATAGTGCGTTATAGTTATTTCTGCTTGTGAGGCAAAACCCCACATGTAGACCCCGCTTTTAACTGCTAGGTAGGTGGTTAGGAAACCTTACGCACTTTTCCCCAGTCGATGTCAGCCACAAGTTTCAGCTGCACCTAGAAATAGGGTAAACGAATATACTTACGTCCTTGTATTCGAGTCCAGCCGTGTTCGACGACCTGTACAAGATCGGTTTCGAAAAAATGAAAAGCAGGTTAATTAATTATTCTAAGCTTTTACCGAATGTTTGCCTAAAATTTGGCAGCTTCTTACTTCTCTATTATCTATTTAAACAGGACAAAACGAAGCGCTCCTGTAATTCTCTGCTTGTCCAATCTTTGTCGCTCACCTAACATATACACACAAAGCCAATATTTTTTCGCAGTAACCTTTCTAGGTATAACATAACGAAAATAAAAACACTAAAGGAATCCAGCCAGGTAGAATCCAGGCCGGTCACACCACGGAAGCGGCAGCGGAAACAATATCCTAAAATAAGTAATAATAATGATAATAAGTAAAAAATAAAAATAAGTAATAAATAAAGCTTGTGACAAATCTCGCACTTTATGCAAATATCTAGCTGGCACCAGACATGCGAAGCTACTGAAGGCAATTTTCGTTTTTATTCCAGCTGCTTCGTCTGTCAATCTCCGTCTGCAAATATCTGTCAACACGTATCCATGCGGACCGAAATGTTTACCAACTATCGGCAGTCGAACATTGGCCGCGTTGTATACGCGTCGTGTACAGTGGAGCTGCTGCGGTCACGGCGGTAACAACGGCGCCAACAAATGCTACGAATTACTTTCTAAGCGCCCTGACAATCTGACTGCCAAGTACTAATACCAAAAACGTAGCATCTAGGCCAGATAAGTTTTAGTTTAGTCTGTATTGGCTCGTTTTGAGGGTCGGAAAGGATCGCTGTTAAATAATTAATACTCAATGTAAATTCCGGACACCTTCTAGAGCATTGACTAATTATCTAAATAACAGAGATAATTTAAAATGTTGTATTAACTCAAATGGGTAACCGGTACAGTTGTTCTCATAATATTGGTCGACAGCTAACGGACAGTCAACTACGATAGGTTGTAAATAATAAAGATTGTCAAGCGTTAAGGTAATAAGCGATTATATTGAACAACTATTGTTTGGTATTATGCCCGATTTGGACGAAAAAGTATGAATCAACGGGTCGCACTAATGGCCTATAGCTGTTCGTAAGACCGAATTTTCGTATAAGGAGTTGAATGCAAGCGGACTAAAAGCTGGCGGGTTCTGATCTTACAAAAAATGGGTTACACATTACTAACTAGAACATATGAAGCTCCATACCGCACATGTCGCGGTACTATAAAGCACGAGGCGATCGTTCACTGTACCAATAGCATTGTGATATAAACAACACGTAAAGAGATACACATTTGTTCGTTTCATCATTCACTAACGCTATACGTAATATTTTCCTCATCTTCGCTCAGATGATTCCGCATGTTCAATAACCCCCCTGCCAATTCACTTCTAAATGTTCCGCGCCATTTGAGCTGTTTCCATATCGAAATTCAGCCGGCTTAGCCGAATTTTTTTTTTCATTTTTACGCTGCGAAATCACGTTCACTATAAAATGAAAGAACTTTTATCGCTTGCCGAGAATCTTCATTAAGGAAAAAAAAAACTGAAGAGACACTGCTCTTTCTTCCATTTGTGTCAGTTGGCTTAACATATCAGGATGTCTCTTTCAGCTGGTTTAGTATGGCGAACATGGGGGTGACCAATGAGCGGACGGCTTTTCCTTATAGAAGTATATACAGCTTCACCCCTTGTTTTCATCCCCCGAGGCAGGCTATTACGTTTGGTTAGAAGGAGCTTTTTAGTAAAATATTTAATTGTTTCGTGTCGTTGCTGTCCACCTCACTTTCTTCTCAGCCGACTGCCAGCTTCGCAAAGTAAGCTTCCAGCAATGTACTTTCTTTAAACTAATAGATTTCTAGTTAAACCTAAATAAGCAGTCTTGTTGAGCATTTATGCTTACGTAAGGAGACTCAGGAACGTTTTTTAGCGATAATCATTATACAGGGGATCAAACATATATATATATATTCATTTGTGCTTGGAAAAGCACTTCAAAGTAATTAATAACAATACAATAATAATAAGAAAATAACTAACTCTTGTGAACACAAAATTGTAGTTTTTCCCGAACCAAAAAGCCTTTTAAAGGAGAAGGAAGCATATTTTTGCTGCCTTTTAAATCAATGGCCACACAAACGGATTTCTGTGACGGCAGTTGGCGGGGAGCTTAGCGTTCGCCGATGCGACATTTCGTTGGTTGCTCGGCTACTCGTAACTACGTCGATCCGATAGCTTAAGTTGTTGTCCTGTTCCGTTGTTCTCCTGCCAGCCGATGATGAACCTTGTTGTTACACATGTTGGCCCAAGAGGGGCACAATCGATGCAAGTGACATGTCGCTTTTGTTCTTCATTGTTTTAAATTATCATTTTTATTGATTGACTTAAATCGACGAAAAGTCTTTGGTACGTTCCTGCGAGTATACCATTTACAGTTCAACAAAACGGCTCGAAACGTATCAACGATATCTGATTTCTTACAACACCTTCCGATTATTCTAGAGCTGCTTGTTCCATAGATATTTGCTTGTGCCATTCGAAACATAAAAATTATCTTAATATCGATCCTCTTTACAGAAACCTTCTAAGTAGGCAAAAAAAAGCAAACCCATTTCAAATTCATGTCTAGAACTCGTGAGTCCTTTTAACAGAAAAGAAGCAGCCGGACCATCTTGGAGACGACGCCTTAGCTGAACCACTCTGCAGTATGCCAGAAGACAGTATACCGCATCGTACAAATCCAACCGTTCGCGCACGTCGACCGAGAATTTAACTATTCGCATCGAATGTGTCTCAACGCTCCCTATAAAAATGGCAGGCCTTGCCTGATTTCCGATTACTTTCCGTGTGTCGGATTTTACTGCTCTTACTTGCGTCTAGGAAATCGTATGCACACAATATTATGTTTTTCAATTACCAATCGCTTTACGATCATTGGGTCTTCCTTTCCCGGAGAGATGACAGAGCGGAAGTTTCCGCGCGCGTCTCGTGGTAGAGAAGGTTGCCTGGTGCACAAAAATTTGACCGTTAAGGTATGACGGCTGTGTACATACCGTAAAAAAAAGGCTGCGACGAACGCACGTGCACGCGTGCTTTTAAATTGGTTGCTGCTGATAGAGAATGCTGGTGATATTTACACGACTCTCTGGACCCCCATTTTACGGATGGCAGGTTTCTGCAGTTTCTTTGCTGATAGCGAATCTTACCGGAAATGTAAATGCGACATAAAAACAGCTCGAGCTTATATTAATGCTGTGTTGGAGAGATCTTGCGGAAACTGCCTGACTCTGTTTCTAGTAATCATTCCAATAGGACTTAACAGAATGATTATAATGATCACTTATGCTTGACGTACTTTAAATATAAAAATGGAAGAATTTTTCACGTTATGCGTGTTCGGGAAAAACTTCTTTCGCGCCATGGGCGCCTTCATAGCCGCAAAACAGAGTCGTAAAGCATTCGGCGTGTAGGGGTGCGTGTGATCTTTCAACCTTTCCATATACTAGCATTACATAAAACCAAACGCGTTCGAAAGTCAGTTCACTCGATTTTATTATGTAGACTAAAGAAACGGCGAAAGAAACAGATGCAGATTTTGGCAGTACACTTTGCCATCTACTCGAAGCCTCTCACCTACAGGTACACTAGAGGTCAAAGTGTCTGAGCATGGGGTAAAGGAACCGCCTTTGAGGAAGGGGATAGGCAAACTGGACCTACTAGAAAGGCGAGAATTGGAAATATGTCCGACAAAGAAGTTTAAGTAGAAAAAGATTAGCGCGTAACACGGCAGCTCTCATGTAGACAGTCGATGGAATCAGTGTACCCTCGATTCCTTGCCTACCTGTATTAAGATAGTCTTTGTTGTCTTTTACCGGTCCAGTTGCAGACAAGACCGTTCAAAAATTAAAAAATTAGTTTTTGATTTGCTGTAATTTGTGAGCGTACATGAAATACAATTTTTTCCCACGCATTTGTGCTGATAGGTTTCTCGATATGCGCGCAGGTGTTTCAGAGTGCTTCGCTCTTGCTCTCGGACGCTATTAGACGTATCAGGATCGGCATCAGTGTATCAGTCGTACGACACAGTAACGCAATCGCCAACAACAGGACCTTCGTCTGGTTGAAGTTTATGTAGAAAAACAATTAATAAGAATTCTTGGTTACACAGTTAAACAATTTGAGAATATTTGTCAATTACTGGATGATGGATAAACTATTGACGGTTTAGGCCGAAAACGCGGCAAACATTTTTTTCTATTTTTTTTTCTGTTTCAGAACAACATTATTTCGCCGCCTTGATTGGTGACTTTCTATCGTTCTTCTGACAAAAAAAACACAATTCCATCATTGTAGAACTTGTGAGGTTTTTAGGCGATAAGTGTTTTTAGCATCCATCCATCAATTGAAACTAAATTAGTACTGCTAAAAGAGTCGTGCGGAGACCCGATAGTGCAAAGCCAAAGCTACACGGCAGAAGATCTCATATTTTCCACCCAAGATTTCTATTTTTGCCAGGTAGCTAAAGCTATATGTGGTCAGGCATTATTACAATAAAAAAAGAACACCTTTTCTTTTTTTCTACTTCCGATCAGTTTCTTGTCGATGGCTTATTATAATCCTGTTAGTTGTTGACCGTGGAAGTCCGAATCAAGGCGGTAACAACTCTTAATACGTTATTCCTTTCTTCGACATCAGTCTAGACTTTGCCACAAGTTATCGAGCAACTTTTTTTCCGCATATTATTTTCACATATAATCTACCTTCCATCGCCCTAGAAATGGCTCGAATTTGTTCGTTGTTTGTTTGAAATGGACAATTCTTTTGCGTCAATTCGTATGGGACCCAAAATCGAGCTTCAAATGGTTGGAAACCCTTTACTAATAAATGTTTGATTCTTTGGCAATCTAGTCATATCTAGTCATGCGTCCTTCACCTGAAAATTCCCAGTACGACCGCGAGAGATCTACCTTTGAGCATATAAACTTCCATCGGCATGTAGATCTTTTATCGATCAATTTTCAGCGCAATAAAATTGTAAAACATAGAAAAACTTCACTCATCTTCGAGGCACTCAGGATTAAGTTTTGATGAACGCACTCCAGCGATTTTAGCCCCTCTACTACTGTCAAATCTCGGTCCTCAAACAACACCAACCCCAAACCCACGCGGCTCGTAGTTCCTAAGATATGTGGCTTTAAAACCATCTAGCCAGAGAAATTATTAATTTTTTTGACAACCCAATATTTGGATCGTCTATGAAACGAACTACTTTATCTGAGCTTTCTGTTCATTCTATGCTATATTTCTTTTATCGCAAATTTTTTAGATATAACTAGACAGCAAAAAAAAACAACGCAAACAATAAAAAAATATACTTTGAAAGAAACGTATGTAGCTATCTCTCACTAGTTACTTAGTTTATCCTTTAATAAAATCGCTTACACCTGTTTAACGAAAACAGGCTTCGATTAATAAAATAACAAAGCTTTTAAAATGAAACGACCGAGCGAGGAAGATCTTCGATTTGGATCGAGTCATCTCTGACGTTCTAGAATCGGCTTAGGCAAAGAACGTTACATCTAAAGTCTAATGTTCAGCCTCTTACGAGCCACTCCTTATCGTAGACGTGATGGCTGCTACTAGGCGTCATGAAGAAATGTTTGTTTTAATTATGCTTGATCTTCAGAGCAGTCGGAAGATCTAATACACGAATTTCCTTTCAACTATGTTGTGTCTAAAGATGATGATATGACGTATCGAAATGGCTAGAAATAAGATACGTACTATTGAAGAAGACGAAAACAACTGGATTGAGTTTTCCCGATAGGTCAAGCCGCAGATATTTTATCTATAGATAACATTATTAGTTCTACAGTAATCAATATTTGATGATTATAAACGCGTTCCAAAGTAAAACAGGTTAATATGGAATTGTCCCGAGGGGCGCTGTTGTGAGTAATATCGGTCAACCGGCCGTTATTAGAGTCATTAGTTAATTATCCTGGTATCAATATCACAGTTTGCAAATCATTACATGAAGTTGAACAGGGCATTGATTGATGCTATGATTCAGTATAGTGTGATTAGTCAGTTTTGCGGACAATTACTTGAAGAAATAAGCAAAGCTTGATATACCGTAGGGCATCTCTGGCAATAGTTATGATCTGATTAGTAAGGAAGGCACTTCTCAAAGAACTACGCAGGCTTATGACTTAATAGCTTAGTAGCTGAAAACCTAAGACATTCGACGGAACGAAGGCTCAGAGTCTGCTACGTGCATTCATCCATAACCTTGAATATAAACTGATTAGCTTTATCAAGAAGCGTTTATATGTCATACGCAACGGTTTGACGCAATACTGTTGATTATGGATAGATTACCTCTTAGAATCCCTATTCTCCATTGAAACTGCTAAAACTTATTTTAAATCTACGCAACAAACTCATAGAGAAAATCTTTAATGGTCTAGCGTGTAATTATAATTTGTAAGTAATGTACATAGATGCTCATTTTTAATACCGAAGTTGATGATCGGACCCATCAACACAACCTGTCTTCTGCTGAAGTAACAAAAATGTGTTACTATTTTTCTTAGCAGTAGTTAGTGGTGCGTTCTTGGCCTTTTTTTGTAATCAGCAGAACATGGGGCGAGGCAATCTTTATTCCTGCAGGCGGAGTATAAACACTAAATGATGTCAATAACAGATCTAGTTGCCACGATGTCTCTACGACTCTATAGGATACTATTTGGTACTGGCACAAATAAATCGATCTGACGCTAATATTAATGCCCACTCGTCGTTTGAATCTAGTAGCAGTTCTGCGATAAAGTCAATATATGTTCCTGTAATAGGGCGCATCACATGCAACTTTAATAGGAATGATGGAAAACAGAGTTTTTTTTTAAAGTTTGGCAATTTTTTCTTGTTGTCGAATGATTTGTGTGTGGCCTTGATCAGTCTAAGCGTTCAAAGGTATGTCGTGGGGGCTTGGCTGGCAAACGCTGGGTTTACTTCGTATAATGAGAGAATACGAAGAAAAATAGGAGGTCGAGGTACGCACTAAAAGACGGGAGACTGAGAGACGGGAAAAGGAACCAGAGGCCAAATGGAGAGTGTCGTTCTTATTCAAACAAAATTGAAAAAGCTTTGCGATTTTCTCTTACTCTACGAGGAACAACAACGAAAGGTGGTCCCTGGCCAAAATACTGAGCTGCCTATACTCACTTCTATCTCGTAACCCGGCTCCTTCAGAGCGGCATTGCGACGATATCCTGAGCCTTCTTCCTTTCACCCCCTTCATTCCTCTCTCTGCAGTGGCGCCTTACTCATCTCCTTCTGCCAGGTTACAGCGGCTTTCCCTTCGAGTACAAAGCAGGCAAAAACAAATAAATCGCGAACGAGGACAACCCGGTGAGAATGAAAATGCGAACAAGTCGCAAACCTGCTGCCTGTGTGTCAAGACGATCTTTTCATTTTGCCCTTATTTTTCAGTGATACAATTTGACTAGTAGATTAGAATAGCAAATAAGCTAAATATATCATTGATGCTATAGAGCAAATAGCCGATGAAAAATACTGCTTCGAAAACGCACTCCGGAATCTAAATTTGCTCTTCGCGTGTTTTAATAGAGAATTAGGGTCTAGTTATGTTGTGGGCTGTATGCCCTGTTCTTATAAAAATAGACGATACCAAGAACCTATCTATCAGCTTGATGGCCTAAAGCCGTTCGCAAGGCTAGCATGCTGTTACAAACCTAGAATTCTATATATATGTATATATAAGGGACGATGTTTGTAGGACTTGTAATTAAAAAACTTTCAACTGGTTCGTTCTTTGCTCCAAAAATTTTCCTAATTTGCACTTAAAGAACACTTTGGAAGATTGAAAGAGACTGACCCAGCGGGAAATTAGTTTCGTCTCGTCTTGTCTTACAGTTCGTTTTCTGGGGACGTTTTCTGTCGCATCTTGATTGTTGTAGCAGCAAGATGGAACCTTTAGAAGCTAGGCTAAATCTTCATAGGTTCAATAACGATTAAATCAATTTCTCGAACTATAAAACTAAAAGAAAATATAGCAGAGTAAATATCCAGCAAAGCTCCGCTACCGTGTTTTAACTTCAAGAGTTATACGAAAGATGCCTTTTCTTTAGTCTTTAGAATCAACCCAGATAACTGAGGCTTAGAAACAGCAAACGCTTATTCATTAGTCAATGTAAGAGTGAAAATTTTTTGTGCTGGGAGTTGTTCCTGCTAATAGAGCATCTGAATGATCGGTGCGGTGGCTTAAGTATCCACGCTAGCCACAGCATCTATTAAGGTCAAGTCAAAATAAAGTGTGGAGTTACCAGTGAATAAAAATATTTAATTAAATATATTTAATATTTGCTTCTTCATTAGTTTTAATTAGCATTAACACAGAAACGAACCGGCACATACAGGTCAATTTGTATGAACAAATAAATTTTTTTAAAAATACACTTACTGTATATATAGGAGTCGGCCATTTTTGTACTCTGAATTGAGTAAATTGAAAATTGAAATTAGCAAAGCGCTATTATTTTATATACTAAGTATGATGGTCCATATCTTAAGTAACTCTCTACGTTGCAACTGTTTCAAGCAGTTAGTATAGATAATATTGTCTAGATTAATAAGCATGTACTTCGATTATATATCATATACTCATATACTACTGATTAATCAGGAACTTGAGATTAATCACGACTTTTTCGATTATACATGTCATTGATACTAATCAGATTTAGAGACCCTCAATTGTATCAATATTTTGGATGTAAAACTCGAATCATGTTGAAATGAAAATACTGACCTTTTTTTTTTCATATTCAATAGACAAGGAGTTCTACTATGGATTAGTGGAGCAGGTTAAACTGAACGCTAGCTGAACCTAACACCGGTGTAGACGTAGCACCAAGTTCTCTAAAGTGTTCTATAATAAGTATAGACTCATCCTTAGGAGTGTATTAACGGTGACCATTTGGGCAACCATAACGGTAGCACCTTTGGGAATGGGATAATCGTGTCGTTTTGGTGTACTGCTTAGTAAGCCCGATTATTGTTCCTCGTAAACACAAGTTTATCAATAGTAGTGGGCGAACGACCCAATTGAAGGCCACTTGTGTTCAGTTCAAGAGAAATCGGTTTAGAACCACGTCATTAGTATATAAAATGTACATACAAAGTAGAAGAGGCTAAGCGAGGATTATCGCAAGCCAATTTTAGGTCTATTTCTATGTTCTCTTGAAAAAATTATTAGTAATTGAGCCATACCACTTGCAATCATCACTTACAAATTATAAGTAGATGTTTTTAAACCAAACATTTCAACTAAATTAGTGTTATCTTCGTTATATCTTAAATCTTTAGTCAGGGTTTATTATCATTAGAATACTGGAGCTGCTTAAAACTTGCGTTTTGTCATACAGGTTGTTAAGTAACTACTGAGCTATAATGGAGTATACTAATAATTTAAATCGTTCACGGGAAAGCAATTCTCCACGTTAGATAGGGATATGTTAGGTCATACAGTGCATCTGTTAAAGATCATACGATCTCGTTGAACAATGTTGCTTGATTGTCACTAAAGGTACAATCAGGTCTACACGATCTCTAACCCGTCCCAAGTGCACCAAATTTCCTTTCAACGTCATCCTTTCTTCTACGATTGTTTACGAATACTGTCCATACTTATAACAAATTCTGGTCTGCAGTGCCTCTTTACGCTATCCTCACATATACGCAAATGTACTACTCTAGTCCGTCTACGTAGTGCGTTCTACAAAGAAGAAATGCTTCCGTGTATAGACGTGCGCACTGCAATGCTTCCCTGCTGTTACACGTTTTCACGTATGCATTTACATGCTTATGTAAAAATGGAACAAAAATTTGAATGTTTCTGCTTATCTGCTGGGTGATTCTAGCAGTAGCGGCAGCTGTAGTCTGTGTACTTTATGTTTATGGCGATTTTCCAAGCAGAAGAGGCAGCCGTATCAAAAGGAAATGCTACTGCCGTCGTAGTTAATGCAGCTGTCGGTGTTACTACAAGTGAAGTGTCTGCGTATCTTTTTCCAACGATCGTTGTTGCCTCTTTTCTGTGCCTCAAATCTAGTCCTTCAATCCTAATCTTCCCCGTAGGCCCCTTTTGAGGCCATAGGCCGGTCTGTCATTCACAAAGAAAGAATTTGGTCTTATCCAGCTTTTCGTCAACTAGGCTTCTTTACATTCGCTTTCTGTTTACGCCACTCGTTTCCCCCGCTCTAACTGTGTCGTTACGTTCTCTGTATTACGATTTTTATTTCTTGTCTAGTTTTCCTCGTTCCTTGAGCTGTTTCACAGCAAACTATGTACTTTATCTCAGCTGTCCTGTTTGTTTAGGCGAAAAAAAAGCCTGATTCTTTTGTTCTGTCTTACTCTTCTTACTGCCTAATTTCTATCAACACTGTTTCAGCCCTCGATTTCTCTATCACCCTCTTTTAACCTTTGTTTTTTATGCTTCACTCACTGATCTCTCACATTCATCCTTGTGTGCTGCTTTTCCTTCACCAGCCAGCTCTCCAGCAAGTCCTTTGAGCGTCCGAGGACGCTGCTCATGCGATTCATTTCACCTACTGTTGCGGCCTTTTGTTCCTGTTCATCCCAAATCTGCCATTGCTATTCGCGTGACCTTCCAAACCTCCGGTTAGTTTTTTGTTTAGTCATACGGAAGTTTCTACAGGGGCTATGTATGCAGAGTAAAAGCATCTCGCTTGATCGTTACATACACATCTTATGCGCTGCAGTTCTGTTTGCCGCTTTGTTTTTTCCAATGTCCTGCTAGCAGCCCTGCCTCGTCGACTGCCCCCACCTCTCTCTCTATTTCCGTGTCTCTCATTTCTGAAGTTAGCTTTTTGCTAGCGTCAGCGACGCCGTCCGACATTATCTAACCTGCTAGCTCGGAGCGTTCTCTGGCTGCGGCCAGAGAGGCTGTAAGGAGACATGTTCGTCCAATCTTCATTTACCATCGATCCGCTGGAAGGGTCCTGGTGTACGCTAGCGAGGCTAAAATGCTAGTGTTGTGAGCTCACTTCTTTCCCTTGCTCCTCTCTGTCTGCCCCTTTGTTCCTTACATTCTTTCGGCAAAAACTACCTAACTGTATATTTAACCAACCTATGTGGGTAACGAAAGTTAAAGAAGGAAGGGACCGCCAAAGTAGACGGAATTAAGAAATAAGGGGTACCTGACTCTTTCCTTGTAATCCGCTTTCTATTACAAATATGACATTTATTGTGATAACATGCATTCATTTCGTTTACAGCAAATAATACAATCCGACAAAGTATTCTGATGAATTAAGTTGGACATATTTTGCAGGAAAAGGAGTTCTATGCCCTTTGTTCGGAAGTGTTTTTTTTTCTTTCCTGTAACTCGTTTGATTACAGTTCTCAAAAAGGACAAGCGATAAAAAAATGCCGGAATTTGCCCCTGTATGACCCGACCCGCAATATCAGCAGTTTTCCACAGAGACTCCTTTATCGACCATACACATTTTTTCTATTACACTCACAATGTCTGCAACATTCCGACCTATCAGAGAAGACAATCTTGTTTTCATGAAAGAAAATGCGGTATGAGCGATTCTCCATTTATCATAGGTCTAATTTTGTCGTGGGTTCATCGGACTTCACTTGACATGTATATGTTGCTGGTGGTTATTGAACTTGTTGCAGAGTTCAATGCGCGTATTATAGCGCTCGATCAGTACTAAAGCTGCACAAACAGTCTATGGTAAGTTTTTTTTTTTTGATCAAATTATCTATGATCCTGAAGCTAGAGTATAAGTTCCGGCTTTAAAGTAACTCTAGACACAGCTACAGACATTACTGCGTTCGCGAACCCTGCCTTGTAACCGCGCAACTTTTACAGGAGTCCCCCCGACTTTTTTTCATTGTCCCTTTACTGTGGAGATGTTGTCCTATGGAAAAATTTCTCGTGAGAAAGTTCAGATTCGAAGACGCGACCCAAGCAAACTTCGCCTATGATAGCATCTTTGCTATTTCCCTACCCATCATCAGGACCACTTAAGGCCATAATGATACCGAAGCTGATAGATGATGGCCTATGCAATGTTGGTGTTCTTATAGATTCTCGGAGTGCTAATGCGCATTTAAAAAAAAATCTCGTCTATCTGAGTTTTAGAGTGAGATATGATGAACAGTTTAGTTAATTACTTAGAATTTTTTTCGTATAGAGTGCAGCTCCCTAAATTTCAACAGTTATTATATAACCATGCTATAATCCGCATAATATAAACGTTAGTATGTTACTACTGTGCAAGAAACAAATCCATGGCGAGGGTTTCCGAGTTAACAATAATAATTGTTTACGAAAAATTTCCGATGTTCTTCAGCGGTGAACCCTCATTACGACCTTTGCTTTGTGATATTGTTTAAGCTTTCTTATGAGTTTAAACATGTGATCTCATAAAATTAAAAAAAACTAAATTATTCTAGTGTTCTACAGTCTTTACAAGGCTTTTAGAGTTACTGCATATTAAGCCTCGGTGTTATACTGATGACTAGACCAAATGACGAGGTGGGAATCCGTCGGAGAAAAGTGTTGTACCTCGTAATGAAAACAAGCACGTGTATATATATATGTAGAATGCCTGCTCTTCAAATGCTATATATTCGGCATTACATCCGTGGCCTCTAATGACCAGACAGAATTAAAATATTACGCACCCCAAAAACTTTTTCCTATCAAGTCTTTCGTCATCTAATATTATAACACGCCACTGGATAGCAAGTCATACCCAATTCTGCCTTTTGTAAAAATGCTTTTCTTTAAAAATGACTTGAGTAAAATTGTCGCCATTACAAATGATCTCCTCTTTGTAATGGAGACAATGTTAAGGTTCGGTACTTAAATCATGCCCACAATATGCGGTCATTTGCAGGCAAAAAAACGGGTTGACTCTGTAGCAGTTGCACATGCAAAAGGTCCTTCGAAAAAACACAAACCTTCTGGAAAGAGTCCAAGCCTTCCTCAAATGGTCAGCGTAACAAATAGTGATAAGGACGCTTCGATGACGCCCGTGTCGACCTTAACTGTTATAACACACTATACGATCGACTTCCTTTCTGATAATGTCCATCCAACCAGCATAACATCGACCGGAAGAACAAGGTACCGACTTCACTACACCCGTGGAAATGGTTGTATACAAATAAATCTATTAGACTTTATTTACAAGCGAGGGAGTTTTGCAGTGTCATAGAGTGAAGGTAATATATACGTGTATATATATATATATATATAGCCATTATAACTTAATATATATACATATATATATATATAAATGCAGCCCCTTGCATTTTAATTCATTTAGAAGCTATAGCATCATATAGAGGCAGGTATGCTCATTGTTGAGCATACCTGCCCAAGCCAAAAGCACCCGCAGATGTTCTTATCTGCGGGTGCTTTTGCCGTATACAGTAGTTTCGTTGTCATCTACGAAAAAGGAGATCAAAAGTAGCTTATACCATGTTTGGCTCATTCATGACTATGACGTAATTTTCAATCTGACGATTGATATAATAAACAATTTTTGAGAAATAGTAATTCTTACAGTGGTCAGCAATAACCGACTGACAGGAAAAAAGTTTGTTGGTCTACCTTTAATGTGAATAACTCGATTGACTGAGCCCATCGAGTATCAAGAAACGCCGGTAAATGCTCTTCTGTATAAGTAATTTTTTCCCAATATAGAGATCTTCTGCATTTTCCGCAAAAAGAAGTTTCCTTCAGCAACCTCGCGATTTCAGCTAATAGAGAAGTACAATATACGAGGGAGATTACACTTGAATAGATATTATCATTGCTTCTTTTTCGGTAAAAGGCTGACTGATCTAAAACTGCTTGTATGTCCTCAAGGGAACATGCCTAAAAGCTTGAATTTGCATGACTAGAAAATCAATGAGAGACACCTGACTATTTGGAAGAGAAAAATAAGTTTATTATTTACCGTCATCATTGTTATTAATGTTATCCGAGACATTATGGTTGTGTTTGTTATCACTTCATCTTCATCGTATCGTAGACACGGCGTTGTTGTTTTCATACTCTGTTATTAATATCAGTCATGTTTGTTTTGTTAGATTTGTTCTATTTGCGCTTGTGCTTGTCTGCGTCACACGCGTGTTCGCCGTATATATATATATATATATATATATATAGTATCATTATGTATTGACGCTGGTTTCGTTCTCAAGTTTTTCATTTATTATCCACCATTTTAGTTTTCCATATACCTCTAACTGTATGGGCTCGTATGGGGTTTTCTGACGGAAAATGATGGCTACAACATTACAGGAGATAGGTGCACCAGCTTGATGCGGATCGCTGCAGTGGCAAACGGTGTTCGATTCCCTTTAATGTATTATTATAATACACGGTACACGTGTCAGTATGTCTATTCCGCGATCTAGGACTCTTTCCCGTAATTGGGCCTCGTCTCATTTGGCCCATCGTATATCGACACACACTTCTACTTAATCAGATGGTTACGTTACTGACTATGCACAGAACAATTCTGTGCCTCTCTCACTACGACTGCCCGTTTCTCGATCTTCGGCGAGTTTTGCGTTTTATTTACTTTACCCTCGGTTGAGATCGATTTAATAAAGCTGGCTGTACGATCGGGATCGAACATTACTTGATTATATGTCATACTATATTTATGTAACAGAGTTTGCCCTAACGATAACGTAGAAGCAATTGCTAGCGCATTTACGCCTAGCGGAGATGCTGAATAGTTTACAGAAAAGTAAATAATTATTCTTCCATTAGGGTTTTGTTTTTCTATAGCATCTACAGGGTCTGTAAGTACAATTTACATAAAGTTGTTCACCTATCTGTGTTTACGAAATCTAGAAAGTTGCAATGTTTGTCGGTAAATAGTAACGTTAGAAAACACTATAACTCTCCTCAACGGAATCGATTAGGACAAACTCTCTTTTTCAAGATTTTCTGTCGCTTTTTTTTGCTTTTAATGCGAGCTAAATAAGGAGCACACAATTGAACACCATGTTGACCGTTTCAGTTAATATCTTATATTCCTCGGATATCAATGGAATAATAGTACTAACAACAGTAATAATAATAGCAATCATCATCACTATGTCTTCTCGTGATACTCATATTAGCATGTTTCTAAACATATATATACTGTCGCACTTCTTTGCCCCCCTTCTGTTCTCCCATGTAATAATAGTTGTTATGATTACTTGTTATGTCCATTACTTCGATTCCATCACAACTTACGTTCTACAACACTCTGGACGCCGTTGGATCACTCAACAGCCACGGACTGTGTTACCATCCGCTATACGACGATACACGTACGTAACGGCCAGACCAGCGTAAATGATTCTCTATTATTACCGTCTGTACATTATTACAGTGGATCTAGCTTATGACGACGCATACGAGACATGTTGATTAAAACCACAATACGGCATAATATATTGGACAAAATATCGTTTATAGCGAGCAACGATCGTCGACCGTTTCACTTGTGGGCATACAAGCCGTATTTAAATAATTTACCATACGAATACATAGATAACTCGTGTTGCTAGTTGCAGACATTATTTGATATATTTATTGTCGTAAGAGGAACAAATAGTAGCAGGCGTTATTTCGGAGTTTTGCATGTTTCCCTGACTATTTTTCAATGGGTAAGAAAAGAACAGATTACCTAGATCCTTTTTCTAACCAACGTCCCGATAGTAAAATTCGATAGGATACCTTCCCATCCAGTCTTTTGTTGTCATGTCTTTTGTGTCATGACGGCGACGGCACGCACTTTTGACCTTAAACAACTTAATCCTCATAGCTTCGAGCTGTTTGTTAGTAATATAGGATACTTATCTTACGCTGTACACGCAGTTACGCAATCGATATGTCGTTTACTGTGTTAATAACCAGTTGCAATATAGCAGGTAGCAGGAAACGTTGCTTTTCTCCTATGTAGGACCAAATATGCACGAAGGTCATACACTATTGCTTAATCACAAAGCCAATAGACAAAACCAGAAGAGTATGTAATTTGATTGGGAAAACAAAAACATGATCGACGTGGTATAAGTAAAATCTTCGAGAACGATTATATATGATAGTCTGGCATTTAAAACGGAGCCTCTTACGTAAATAATGGCCTCGTGCAAGGACATCTTTGATAGATTACAATGAACTCTCGCTGTTTGACGCAATCGCTTTCCACGACTACGATAAATGCTTAGTTAATAACCTTTGGTGCGGTTAATCTTTTCCCCTATAAATCCAACATAATGTATATAACATAAAATGATAATTATATTAGTAAAAACTTTTTAATATTTTTCTACGATAACTTAGACATTTCACGTTGTGTTGGAAAAAAACTATCAGCTTATACTTAATGCTTAACTAAGCAAGGTCTAACCGACTCACTCTTACACATTAGTAACTATGTTTGAATTAGTAAAAGAACAAAGTGCAAGAAGGGTTGTGGCCTAAGCTACATGTGCTCAGCTGTCAGACGGTCGTTGCAGCTGAGTTTGCCTGAATAGGCGGGATGAAGAAGATCCTAACTTAAGCAAAATTTGAAGTATATTCAAATTCTTTTTGTTATGACTCCAATCGCTCTTAGCTGCTTCGGTCGAGCTGAAGGTGCGACAACTAATGCAGTTTAGACCTATTTTCTCTCTGGAGTCTTTGGTTAGGTAATGTTGTTTTCGATACTGATCTAGCGACAGCATTATTATAACGCTGAGCTCTTGTTGTAGCGATAGTAAAATGAAAATTAAATTGCAGTTATATATCACAGTGAACGTTGTCCAAATCTTCTAGCCAAACCGAGAACCGATGGCTGTAGCATTCTATTTTAACCAACATAATGCGAAAATAAAGCCCTCAACAAGCATGTAAGAAGCAGTAGGGGCATGAATATGCCCTTAGGCAATCTTGGAACCCTAAGGATAGAATAAAAGATGCTTGACCATCTTCTACAATCCATTGAAAGAAAGATCTACAAGATATTTTTTTTATCCCGAGGGCGTTTCGAAAAAATGAGGCAAGCATTATCTAATGAAGAAAACCTTGAAGGTTCTTTTTGCTCGTTATGCTTAGAATCTCCGTCTCGATTGAAGACAATGTTATTATTGAGAAGGTTCAGCACTACTTTGCTCTTCACTTAGAGCTAAGTTGAAGTGGTTCCAATTGGCAATCACACACGCCACCACAGCGACACCTAAACAATGATCGAATTTCTTCACCACCTCGTTGGCTATGCTAATTCTGAAAGATAGTTCACGAACTAAGTTGCGACGTGTCTGCTTGGTCAATTTTTCTCATATAGTTCCACACGTATAGTTTCGAAAAACCGAAAATACCCATTCGCCGCCCACTTAGCGCCAGGCTTCGCTAACGTGCTACGCCCTGCTTATGATACGTTACGTCGAACTTTGCTAAGGGGCAACGATTCTGCCAAAATTAAACGCGTACCATTATTATGAATAATACATAGCCCCAGTCATTCATTTGATTACCACATCGAAACGTAATTATCTTATACTCGAATAACTGAAATCTATGTTAACCGATTTGTAAAAAATATCTGACGGTCGCATTTTTCTTTTAACAGATAGAATGATTAAATGTAGCAGATTTTCGATCAGCCTTCATTATACAGACTTTTCTAAGTATTCAGTGGAAGCAGCGTTTTTGAGGATGGTATCATAGTCATGATTACTATAGGCCGATACACGTAGTTACTGATATATAAAATAGCCGGTCTGACCCTATCTTCATGTTATACGACTCAGCTGGCCCTACGAGAAGAAAACCGTGTTTGAGGACCTACTTGATGTAAGTAACATAGGCTGAAGACTGCAGATCCTAATCAGCAGCAAAGTTTGTCCTGGATTGCATCACATTTGACTGTCGACTCGCTGGTGCGATCCTTGTACGACTGTTTTCCCTGAGTCGATCCTAATGACAGCCCGCACGTACGTTTATAAACGTTTCGTGTCAACCTGCTGTCAGCTTAACCTTACACCTTTATACGGGGCAATTTTAAATTGAACTGATCAAGATTTGACCATCTAGTTTCACACTCGGAATGTGTTTGTTTAAGTTAGTTAAAGACTGAGCATAATAATACCATATCCTGGCATACAGAACTTAATCTGCCTCGAGAACTAAAATTCACAAAAAACTAACAAAACGGTGGCTAATACTTTCTAAGCATTGTAACAAATTATAATTTTATATATCTACTATCTTCCTGCCTGAACTTAGCTAGAGCTAATTCTAAGTAGGCTTAGATCATAAACTTGTAAAGTCGTTTTCGTGAATTTCTGTGACAGTCGGCAATGTAGACCGCAAATCCGTCTGGAGAAATGACAATATCGTGAGGCATCTTGAACTCCTAAAACGATAAAAAGAAGCACGAAAACAAATAGTGCCGGTTACATTCAATTTCAGTGGTAACAAGTTAAAAACCTGAACCTAGAGCACTGCTGGACGTCTGCGCCCCGCTGATTCTGCATGAACACAAAAGGTCTGTGGCTGCTTTTTGGGTTGGATCTACAACGCCTAAATCCTAAATCTGCTCTGTATCGCTCATGACATTTGAAAACCTCGTGTGCACAAAGACTATATTACCACGAATATTGTATCTACGTTGCATTGTGATTATTGCAAAAGTTTTCGTTACAACTAGATCGTAGATCCACTCTGCGCATACTGCATCATACAGTTTACATCAACTTACGAAAACATCATTTGTAGTAAGTTCGTCTGCCTAAATCAGCCTGCTGCTGTCCTTACAACTAATTCTACGGTAATTGTGTGTTGCTTACAGACATCTAAATGATATAGGAGCTGCCCCGATTGAACAAGGTGCTTCAGTAGGATGCTACAAGAACAGCTTAACATTAACATTTGAATAACAGTAATAACTTGCGTAGCTGGAAGGGGGTTCAAAATGAGTGAACTCTCTAATTTAGTTTATTGTGTTTTTTGTATATAATACAAATAATTTTATTGTGTTTTTTGAATGAAATTGGAAGAAGTAGGCACTGGGGAATGGAATCACGAGCTTATGGCCCTTTTGACTTGGCCTTCAACTTCGAAGCATCAAAGCACAACCTGCATCCTGAATGTTCGAAGGGAGAATGAAATCTATAAGAGCAGGACCCTGCTAGAAGCTGAGTGAGTCAAACATATCTCGGTGGATCTTTAGATAGTATTCCAACTGCAAATGTCTGCAACAGAATAGTCTTGAATCAGGCGATGTTTATTTTATTTACAGGTATACTGCTACCGTTCCAAGCTGAAACAGAACGTAGCTTCAACAATATTTCAAAATTTAGGACTTCACAAACCCTTTCAACAGTTATGTGATAACGATACTTCCTCCGCTCACTAGAGTATGACCATAAAACACTATGATGCTTAAGGCAAAGCCCCGCTTTGTGAGCTTTCTTTATATTACATTTTCTTATTTACAAAATAATACATTTTTATATTGCTCGGTTGGAAAATTATGCGTTCAAAGTGTTTTTAATATAGCTTTTCAACTGATAAGGTAGCATGAATAGATTTCTTTCCGTGCATAATTCAGATCGAGAGGGAATAAACTCCACCTCAGAGAGTGGTTCGAATGCGATGATCTTGGCGTCTACTGTTTGCTGAGTGGTATCCTCCTGTCCGTTATTTTGAAGTTGTTCAAGTTCCCGTACAAATCCTGTTGGCGGCTGGAAAAGATTTAATCCAGGCAGCTGGAACGGTGGTTGATATAGGCGAACGCCGAATAGAAGTGCTCCTAAAGATTAGAACGAAAAGAGATTTATTTAATATCTGTATCTTTCTTTCTAACATGAATTTTTAACATTATTGAGATAAAAACGCTTATTGCTGCCGCTATGAGTAGGTAGAGAGGCGCATAAATGGTTAGTAAAGACGTTCATATCAGTACGTAAACGGAACAGAGCACCGTTAGCTATGAGGTTTTTACCAGGTCATATAACCGTTACGGTGACAAGGAAGATGTCGAAGGCATGCTTGTACGTAGCACAATAGATGGGGAACTCTTGGAGAGGTTGGAACAGCAAGAGAGCTATATTCGAGTGTAATTCACGTTGACAAATCACGACGCGGATAAGATGGAGTTGACAAATAAAATGATTCGAGAAGTAACCTCTTTAAAAGCCATAACCGTCCACCGAATATCCACGTAACGTGAGGGTATGTGGGTGTGTGTGTATGACTTATGTATTTTAGATTTTTGTAGCGAAGGGCAAACAAGCGGATTTCCTAGAAAGCGGCTGCAGTTATAAAGTGCACCTGTAGAGTTCTGAGTTATCAATGAAAACCAGCGACTTGCCTTGGCCTTTTTAAACCATGCATCGATCGACCCAGAGTGACCTAGATAGCAACAGTTATGGTATGTTCTTAAGAACGTCCTTCTGTTCTTCCATTCTTTTTTAAACAAGTTTAAAAACGGAATTCTAATTAAACAATAAAGGTAAATAAAGTAACCACTAAAGTATATTTAGAAACTGAAGTTCTACATGTGTAAATAAACAAAGCAATTGAGCAATTTATAGTGAGTCGACCCAAGCTGATGTCATTGTTCAGTCCTGATTAGGAAAGAACTTCGTAGAAGTGCTTGCCGAGGGCCGACACGCTGTCTTATTAGCAAAAAGATAAAAGTAGCTTGACCTTCAGCCGATTGCATTAATCATGCGCGCGACGTTAACTTCTACATTAAATTTCTTACGATTGACTTGATTTAGAAAATCTTTGAAAATTGAATTATTTTTGAATCATTGATTAGCACGTAAAAAAACCGCTGATTCAACACAGAAAAAGCGTAGTGTGGTACCAGTTATCGCATGCGGTAGAACATGAACTTTCACTATGTGACGTTTGTTAGGTGCTCAGGAGACAAAAGTAGGTAATTTTAAGTAAAACCTAGCCCATATTTCATATGTATGTAAGATATGTAACATACGTGCTATGCCAAACCATAGATGCAACTTTAACGTACTGTCGTTCAATTGTCCGTTCAATGATATTAAAGTTCTATTCTGACAGTATTCTCTCGATGAAAATGTTCGTTTGCAAAGCATTGAATTATATGCTTAAGCTAGAGGTACAATCTCGGAGGCAGGGCGTTAAGCCTTAGAAATCGCAATAGTACCCCTTAGGCTCGGCTCTCCTAACAGCTCTTCCACATATCGAAGGCCCAATTGGTCAAAAGATAACAGAAAAATCTCAGAAAATAACCCATCATTAATTTTTCTGTCCGAATAAGTCCATCACTTATCTCTTTCGACCATCATGCTTAAATGTAGATACGTCGTATTTGCTTCAATCGTTACAATCGACCTGTCCGGTGAATGTGCTAAAAATACGATCGTATCGACATCCGAGGGACATCTGCGTATTTTCGACACTTCTGAATGATATGTCGGATTGAAAATCCGCTATAAATGGACAAGTCGAAAGACGAGTATACATCTACAGACAAATCAAAATTACATACTTCAGATAAACTACTAATATTTTACCCTTTGCAGCGATGGCGTATGGCTTCTCTCCCTCATCAAGACTGTAGCGTCTTCTGACCCGTCCCATGTTTGTGAGGTTTTCGATGCCAGCGTCGAAACAGATAACACGACCCCCCTCACGATCAGCAGCGCAGATTGTATCATTTGCCTCCAGAAGTGTCAGAGAATGAACGACGAGCATGTTTTCTGTAACGACCGAGGTAAAATTACATTAATTTAACTAAAATTTATATCGAAATGTCAAGTACGCGTACACAGTCAAGCGATGATCCACCCTCGTTTTATGGCCGCCAACGCAACGATCAAAAAACGTACTTATTACGATTATACTGTTACATAATATTATGGCCTATAATGCATTTGACGAAGGGACGACGATTAAAGCGAATTTAATTCGACTAATGAAATGGCCATACCTTCCTGACCGAACGCTTTCAAGAATGTCCCATTTTTATGAAATGCGACAACTCGTTGGTTACAGTACCCGTCACTAACAAATACAATTCCTCGAGTGGTAACAGCGACGTCTGTGGGCTTACAGAAGTGCGTTTCGTCTGACCCGGGCACAAAACGATCTCCCAGTACGAGCGATGCATGATCCTTATAGCCGCGGCTGAACTTGAACACCTGCAAAATGTAATTGTCCACCAGCATAACCATCGATCGTATCGTATCCCATTAACAAGAAACGCCTAAGTTGACCATAATGAACTAAAACGTTTCTGTGATTGTTTTAGTATCGTGTACAGATCTAATAGATGAACCACCGCAAATTCAATGTAGCGTCTACCGTCATTTACAACTACGGATCAGATAGTACAATGTAAAGATTCACTGTGTTTTATTATCCCTGATAGAGATAGTTCTCATTTAGTGAGCCACAACAATCCCTAGCTTTATTATTGTACAACCTGTCAAACCGGCCATAGTTGATGACAGATCTAATAAAGTTACAGGAAAAGCGTCCCATTTATTTAGTATTTATTTTTTTCACCAAACTATCCGCGAACGTGGTTGTTAGATATGTAAAAGAGCGCGCTCCTCCAAAGGTCTGCTCATATTGACATGCAACAAATCAATGACCCAGCTCAACAGATAGTAAAGAAATCAAACGTTGATGATAATGTTCACATATGTCCATATATTCAAATATAGATAATTATATGCAATGGTTTATGAGGTACGCCGGTCTCATCAAATTCAAAGGAAATTAAACTTACGGATAATAAAGACCTATTTTGTGAAATATCTCATTTGTAATAAGTGATCGAGAAGGAATCATCCTAGAAATATGTATGTACGTATGTTTAGGGAGCTTTGCGGCTTCCTCATACTACATATAGTACCGCCTTTGCATTGCTACCAGCCTCTAGTGAGGGTCTATGCCGTATCACGGAAAGTAACTAATGTCACGCCCCACAATCCCCTGGCCCATGCGTAGAAAATGTCGAGTCGAACATTCAGAACATCTCTCCATCGCGTTTCTATGCATATGCATATTACGTAAGCTAAATACGGATCAAGAAAACATTGAGCATTTCAACGCTCAACGGCTAGCTTTTATACGTATGCAAGACACTTTACCCAAACTGTCACGTACCCTTGATTTAGGACCATAACACATATTTCATAAAATTAGCAACGAAAGCCTATATTGAATGATTTGATTAAACATGAAAGCTGCAGCTGTTACCTAATAATTGTACCCGACGCTGGGAAGATACTTGTGCGACTAACAGTAAGTATCTCCGACAATCTCGAAACTCCTCTTCATCGATTATATAATATGGTACAACACCAGAGGGACGCTGCACTACATGATTCGTTCTTCTTTTCTCTAGGAATTGCTTCCTCTAATGACTATACAACACTGCTTCCATCGGCAGGAATACCGTGAAAATATACAATATTTTATGTGTCCCTCAGACGACAGGTAGCCCCGTCGGTACTACTCGATACAGATAATATACTACCGTATTCGAAGGTACGCTCACCGGAGGCGCAATGAAGCAAGCGAAATAGACAAAGGAACAGATAGACAAATAGCTACTCCGTGTGAACAGCTTAGCCGATAGACCATCTTGGTATCCTTGTGTGATGCAAAAAAAAAGCCAAGAGAAAGCTGCTTACATAAGTAGATTCGTAGGCAGATGTATTTCGTCTTGTCGTACGCCCTCTCTGAAGTTGAGTAAGTTCCAGTTTTTAATGTATTCAATAGCTCATTAATAAATGACTACTGCAATTGCCGTTGATACAGAACCTACTTAGGTGTTTGCCGACTTCCTCAAGAGGAAATGAGGATCTGATCTTAAACGTTGTTGAACTTTGTGGCCGTATGTGACCGTTTATCGGACTTACATTTCACATAGGAACCTTATGCTATACGGACTTCGATGTACGGCCATGTGGTCTATACGTGGCAAAGTTACATTTCCGACAAGTCATTACTAGCGAATAAACACAGTAAAAAAAAAAAAGGTAAATTTAAAAAAAGTTTCATATTCCGTGGAAATACAATGTCTAAATTAGTCAACATAGTTGACGTGAGGTGCGGACCAAGGCTAGAACTATGTCGCGCACCTTCTTGTTATATACAGCCAAAAATGTTCCCTTTTTGTCAGCGTTCCCCTTGCTCAAACAATCTGGCAAGGCAGCAATGAAGGTGCGGGGCGGGCAGTTGAAGGATTAAAAACCTTTTCGTTTTTTGACCTCTCCATTTTTCATTTTTTAGGTCCTGCTGTTTTAAGTATATTAATTTTGTTTGTCTATAACAATTGTTTGTGAAACTGTTCTACATATATTTCCTAATATTGAGATGTGTTGCCAACTACTATTTATGAGCTTTTTGGCTATTACCAGCAAATCAAATAAAATTTCAGTGATTGAATAATAATGGTTGCCTGCATGTTCGTGATTTGGCTGAACCAGACTAAAATATCGGGGAAAAAAAAAAAGCATTGATTAGCGTATGTAAATGCGCTTGCATTTGATACGTATATTTTCTTCGGTACCAATGATTGCAGTCGTCATAATACGTTTTTTACGTTTAAAAGATACAGACCAGATTCGCAAGAAAGCTTTGCAAGCACCGAAAACAATGCTTACTTCACAAAAACAAACCGTTCCACCCTTTGTCGTCCGTATACAATACCTATTACTAATTTTCGTATCGTTCTTATCCAAACGAGATACCGTTTCAGGGAACTTCACTTAAGAACGTTCAACCTTGAAGATCCGTCGATTAAAAGATGTCAGGTAAAACAAGAAAAACCGTTCGGATGATTTGTGGTAAGCAATAATAATCGAATAGATCGAACGACGCTCACGAAGGCAAATCAATAACGACTTACCAGCCAATGATCATAATGTTTTCATTTATTGCTAACTGGGTTACGAACTAGCGTTCGGACCGTAAAGCTAATACAATATTGATAATGATCATTGTTCTATGCAGTAAAAAGGTGTACAGTTTATGAGAAATTTTCTTGAATTCAAGTTTACCCGAATACCTTTTTCAATGGTTTTTTGTTACCTACAACGAATATATGTAGAAACGAGTAAATAATTGTACACCGATGGGTACTAACAGAAGAACTTGGGCTTGGAGTTTGGGGGATCAAGTAAAGGTAGCTCGAATGACTAAAAAGCATTCAAGCTGACAACTAGCGTATGTAAGCTAACCAACATTACCTTTCCAAGAACATATATTTTTTTTTTGTTAATTCAAAATTACAGCAAGGAGATTGACTAGAAAAATCATTAATCGAGGCTGCTATATCGCCAGCGGTAGGTAAACTAGTAGCACTTGTACAATCCCAAACAGGCAAACGAGTAACATGTCAAAATTGTTTAACTTACACTAACTATACTTATGCAACTGCAAACAACAAAGTCAGTAAAGGCTATTAACTTCAACTTACAAAAATAGTGGCCGTTACCAACATAGTTTCCCGAAAAAAAAAATTGCCGGAAAATACAGCCTTATTTATTGATGTTTTAGAATCGTTATCCCCGGGCGACAATAGCACTACTTCTCTAAACGATTAAAAATCCAATGAGGCAAAATCATTGTTCGGTGAGAAAAATGTGCCAGACAAATTGCCTTTCAAGTCCTTTGCACTCATAACTGCCTAACGGTGTATATAAACATGTTCGCTGCAACTTACCTCGACTTAGACCGTTTAGCATATATATATATATAGCTCGCTCCTTGTCGTCACCAACGTTCAACAGCCATCATTTGGTATCCACCCCTCTAAATAATGCACAAGGAGAGTGAGGCCGTGCAGCACAAGATAACAGGCATGGCAGATGGCAAAATTAAAGACACAGCATTTACCTCGCTTGCTAGCGTGTGGCGCAGTCTTCTTAATCATCAATCGACCGCATCTTTCTCTTCCCGTTCTATTATACTAAATGAGGACCTAACCAATCGAGCCAACATTTCCTTCAGCTTATAAGGCTTCGCTGTGGCCCGCTCACCCTTTAGCGGAGCATCAGCCTGCGGCGTCGGCGCACGAAACGAAAACAAAAATAAAAAACCTTTCGACCTTAATAGTTTGCAGGCATTTCTGCCATATTCTTATTTCTAGTCAAGCCCCTCCCATGCCAAAAACGTCCGAACATCATTGTACAAATGGGTAAGACCTTTTCATGGCCCTATAAAGCAAGCGTGGTCTCATAAAACGTACGTAAACGCATCCAGCCAGTTGCGGCATGTTGTAATCATGCGTTTTACTTCGAACAAATTCGATTAGTCCCTTAAATCCCCATTCTAATTATACGTATTATAGAATACACTATTACATTAAATTAGGATGATCTTAAAAATTTATATTCGTTGCTACATGTTAACAGATTTTTCTGAGAACTAAACGTTTCCAGTGCCTATTTTTTCTTTTTGAGGAGCTGTCCTTATACGTAGAAGGATAGCGCAACAGTTGTCTTTTTATCGCCTATCCATAATGTATCTGAAAATTATTTTTTTCATTGTTAGACTGTCTATTTTTAGTCAGTTGAATTATAAGAGTTTGAAGGATTCTTAGGCAACGCATCGACCTGTCCTCGCTATTACAAAATGAAATATTATTTAACACTACCATTTTGTCACCATCCGAATCAGCGCCAGCAGAAGTACTCTTTTTGGATCTTTTAAGTATAAGCATTTTCTTCAATGTATACCAGCTCCTAGCTCTTGAAACTTTATCATTTATGTAGGGGCATTGTTCCAAAATATAATACGTTATGTGACCTAAAAGGCGCTCGATTTATTACGATCCCAAATGAGGTCGAAACGTTGCAGTGGATGATCTATATGCCACATTGGCTACTGCCAGTTGCTAGATCTAGTGTACGGAAGGGTTATCGTTGTGGTTAGTGATGCGGCTGAGGATGAAGTACATACAGTCTGAGATGAAATCGTATATCACGGACGACTATCTATACCGTTCTCGGGACTTTGTTGGGCGGCTAGTACTATGCAGCGCCTGGCAAAGCCATTCATGGAAAATATTAAACAACGGCATATTCTTTCCTCCTTTTTCTCCATCTCTATCCTCAATCACAACAGCTATAGGGCAAGACAGAAACACAAAGACAAAGGCAGCAATCGAGAATTGCGGTTGAGAGTTACGCCGGGGCACGTGCGACCTCCTGTCACGAACTATAGAGATAACATCGGAGGCTATACGAATCTGCGACGTTTTGAGGGCATGGAGTGACTGGATTATGGCCGTGCGAACTATATAATGAAAACCAAGTTGCCACGTACTTAGTCAGGTCTTCAAGGTTGTTTGAGGCTTAATAGGTATATTTATATGAATCAAGCATGAAATATATATATGAATATTAAAAACTATATACACGTCTAATTTTTTTAATAGTTCCTTCTTTTGCAAACGCGTGGGCAGAATAAGTAGGAAATCGTGCAGTGATGAATACATGGTTGTAAGATGCACACCCTTAAAATGGAGACATCCCGAGCTTATTGATTTACTGTGACGGATGGTGAAGCCCTTATCATGGTTTTTGGCTAACGGATTTTACATATGTTGATGAAAGCTACGAAGCTAAAGAATTTGTAGATTCATACTTCGGTACGGTGATACCAAGCGTATCCAAATCTGTATACTTGTCGTGAAGTTGCAGAGCATTACCTAAGTGGCAGCCTAAATAGACGCGGTTAGTTTCGAGCCCTCTATGCTCCGTTAGCGTCTATTTGTTTTAGCATTATGAACCCGGACAACTCTATCGTTTCGACTGCTGATTTTTTCATAATAAAAAAGAACGTTTGACATTTTCAGTAATTGTATTTTCTTGTTCTAAGATAGCAAGAACGACTTCCGACAAGGCGATTCGTCGAATACACGGTATTATGCAAAACAGAATGCGTTTCGCACTAGAAAACGTTAGGAGCTTAAAAGTGAAAATAGATAAATAGTAACATTCGATATACCTGATGCAATGCCACATCGGTGACCCAGATGTTATCTTCGAAGTCGATATACAGTCCGTGAGGTAGGATGAAGCGTCTCCGTCCAAATGCCTCCAAAAGGGAACCATTTCGCGGGTCCAAGACCAGTATCGCCGGCTCATCAACAATCTGCAACATTATGAATGAGAGTTGACATTTAAAGTTTAATACAAATCAATGTAACCAGTTTATTTTCGAGGTCATTGGTAAACAAAAGGCGCCCTCAAGGTTCAAGTGAATCCGCCCCCCCCCCCCTCCCCCACCGCTACCCGCTAAAAGCAGAAACGCTATATATACACTTTAGTGTCGTAAAGTAACAGTGGTTACTTCAACGCTTTTTCAATGCGAAATGAACGCGTTTAATGTACATATTAGGCTCTGATGGATTAACACTATGGTTTAAAAAATAGCGCTACGGTAGAAAAAATTCATCAGCGTGTATTTCAGATCTTCGTTAGCACAAATTGGCTCGTACAGACAACAGATGAAGGCCGTTCGTTGTATCGTTCAAAATACTTTCCTTTCGTTATACGTTGTGACTATGAATACTCCAAGACCGTTTCAATGTCAGTTGTTTACGGCAGGCCAGAGGTGCTTTTTCGAAAACTTACTTTTATTTATCTTATTTGCTGACGTGTATGTACTAGAGTTCAAAAACGCATTGTCTAGAAACTATCATATTCAAACTTCCTATTTTTAATCTTGTAAGTTCACTAAGTGAAATTTGCATCGTCTTAAGAAGATGGGAAAAACGTTTCATGCGCAAGCAGAACATAATTTACTTGGGAAAAGGCGGATGTGCCCCTGGCGTAAATGTGAGCCACAAGACTGTTACTGAAAATAATGATCATATAATCCAAATCGACGCTTTCTATATTGTGCGTGTTCGAGTCAGGTATAACGATGTTTGAGGCTTTCACGAAAACAGGCCGGTGATTGTATTATAGCGTTGTTCATCCAAAAACGAAAAATGGTAGTTTATGTTTGCGGTGAAGGATGATTGCCTGTGAAGTCTCGTTTGATCAGCGTACGACTGATGGCAGAAGCACTTTTTTATTAATCACAAGCAGTTCGATCGTTCTTGACAATATTTGGCAGTAGACACCCAGAATAAATGATTAGATTAAAGGCTACCTTTAAAGCTGATGAGCACCAGTTACCTTTGGCAAACACCAAACACCACACAGTATGAGGAAATTATTCATCAACCGGATGAGAAACTCAGTTCGAGGTAGAAAAAAAAAAAGCGTCCCTCACCATATATAGACACCGGAATCTTGTTAACTTATATTCAGTAAACCTTTAAAGCTACTTTTAACTTATTAGAATTGTTCGTTCGGTAACATGATAGATAAGTGTATGAAAGTGGTGCATGCTCAAGATGCATCGATAGCTTGTACGTAAATAACTGGGTTGCGATACTGGGCTTTCGCCAAGGTCGAACATAGTTAATGAAAGAGTGTGGGCATAGCGTTCGAGAAATAACCGGGAGCAAAACAGAGAATGCGAGCAAATCTTCTGAAATCGAGTTTTTTCTTTTTGTTTTTCGCGCGCTTGGCGTTGTTTTGATTGCTTTTAAATGGAGCGTATAATCTTCAATATGGAAAGTATACGATATGACCATTATTCAATCTTATCATTGATAAGTCACTAAGTTTTAGGTACACGAGTATTAACGCACGAAATCGGCAATTAGTTCGTTTTAATCATTCCATTTTTCTAAACACGACGCTCCGCAGTTAAAAGCGATCTTTCAATGCCGTTTGGTGTTTCCTCAAGGAAATGAAAAGGAGCGATTTAAGCGTTGACTGACCGATGCATTACTACCAATACATACACGAACGCATAAGGATTCAATCTTACAGCCTGCTTTGACCGTCTCTGACAAAAAACCGTCTGCCAAGTTAAGTAGATGATACGATCGAGAAATTACTATGAAAAGGTATCGTCAAAGCGTTCTGAAACCTACCTTATGGTTTAATCCATACCAAGTGAAAGCAGCGTATATATAAATGGGTAACGATCAAATGTACATGTACAAAGGGACATCTGTTGAAACTCAAATTGCATTGAAATTTTCTACAAGTTATTGGTATTTCAGCAAGAGGCTCGTTCACAGTTGTTGTCGTGCGCTCCCATCGTTGGTTGCTGTATTGACCTTAGTTCGGCATTGAGTTTTCATTGATACGCCCAGTGATGTTATAATTTCAGCTCATAAATAATCGTATGGATTAAGTTAGCTTTGCGTTAGTTAAACGTTTCGCGAAATAACATACAAAAAAAAATAAGTGGTACGCTCGACGGCGAGAGAGGCGCCTTGGGGAGAAAAATCATCGAACAACATAACCATCGGTTTCGAATAAGTAATGGGCTATGATACGAAATAGCAACATCTCATTATCATAGCATAGAACGAATGAAGTAGACGTTGTATAGGGGAATTATTTTTCTATTTCTATAGATTCTAACTTTTGATTGTAATAACTTGAATAAGCGTACATTGATTAGTACATGTATAAAGCTGCATTGGTCGTCAGTGGCCGGATAGTCAACGTTTTGCTGACTTACGTCTCGCCAACGAAATACGTTTCACAACGGTGTGCATCCTCTTAGTTCTGTGTGTGCAACATCCACTTCTAACAGCTGTACTATTTCGTTCGATTTCGTCAATGTTGTGAGAATCGGAAATTAATTGTGCAATCGTAAGTTAACATGATGACGTATATCACGTCATCATGTTAACTTACGATTAGAGCAAATAACAAGTAACTCGTTTTTTTTCCTCAGGATATACATTGCTCTATGCCAGCCGCAAACCGATGTTGTCTAAACTTTTCATCGGGTCCAGTATTTCAGAGTAACATATCGTTCTGTGATCAGATATAAAACAGTCTGAGAACATGATTCGAATAATATGACCTTTTTAGTTTCTGTTTGGAAGCTAATGGCTAACAAAAAAATTCTGCAAGAGGGCCCCGTCCATTGTGAAGGCAGTCTTCATTTTCCTGTCCTGACCTTCGGGGACAGGAAGAACCGTTTCTATAACGAGAACGTCCGCTTGCAGGCAATGCAACGCAACCACCAGCGCGTCTCAATGCCTATTGTTGCATCTAACAAAATGTAGTTGTGATATACAAATATACTGATAATTCAACTTCTAAGAACCAGGTAAAATTTTGTTCGAGAGATTTTCATGTAACGCCGATGCCACGCACTCGTCGCAAAGGGAATAACTAGTAGGATAGTATTGTTCGAAACACAACAAACGGCGACGCGAGATCGTAGTATGACTGATCATTTATTGATATGTAAACATATGGTTCAACAATAATGAGAACGTATTAGAGGCTAGCCAACGCTAAATATGTGATCCGATTTGCATTATCTACTTGTGAATTTTTCCAAGGCCGTCTCGTCTCACTGCAGTAAGAGCGACTGTACGATTGTTTTTTTCTGAACTCTAAGAGAGCTCAGAAAAACAACTTACCTACAAAGTTATAAGAGAACTTTGTTAAGTCTTTTCATCAGATTTATGTAGCGTCGTCGACGAATGACAAGCGACGCCTATGCAAATTCTGTACAACTTTATAGGGATTTAAGGTTCCCACTCGTGTTTCGACAGTCAATACCGGCGTATCAATGTCGGCGTTGTGTATCAATGTATAGAAACGACTATAGATGAGGCGAAGGCGTCATGTCCTACTTTTTGCTGCCCTGGTTCACTCTCCGCTTCTATGTGCAACATAGTAAGACACAAGTTCAACCAAAGGGGCTGTTGCGCCGCGAGTGCAATATCCGCGTACTTCTACAGTCGTCATACCCTAAGATCAACTACACAGACAGAACAGACCACAGAACCCCTCCGAACTAAGCAGACCTTCTAGGTTTCCTAACAATACTCAGCGCTACAGTCTACGAAAGAGAGAGCGCAAAACTATACCGCAATATCTACTCTATGGAATTTTCTCTGAACCAGCAAACCTGATAATGTACAATTCTCGCTAAAGACCAGGAGGCGCTGATGGACCGACGAAAAAAACAAGCGGAATGTTGAAACAACTTCCGATATAGAACTTTTTTCCTGCTGTTGCTTTTTGTCCTTTTTCCTCACCTCATCCAAACTAATGCCAGCGAATTATCGAAAGGATGGTCCAGCCTTGCAGTAACTAACTTCGACCGGTCAGAAAGACAACACCGGCGCCTCCATTGCTGATGCTGGCGCCACCATTGGCCGTCTACCATCCGCTGCCCGTAACGAGTGAAGGCATATTGTAGATTCGCGTAGAAGCAGCGGGAAGGGCAATATAGTAGCCGCAAACGCGAATTGTGACCGTAGGTATAGGCAGCAGGAATTTCCTTTTGCGCAGTTAGCAGAATTTACTCCTTTTCAGTTTGTTCGACGACGTGATGCGATACATGACCAATGTGCGTATTGATATTTGTGCATAGGATAGACCTTGTACAAGGTGTCGAGATATGAGGAACATACAGCAGTGCATATGTTTCTTTAACCTTATCGCGGTAAGATCGCGAATGGCTACTAGTGCAACTTCTTTGTGAAGCTATATTGTCAAGAAGGGCACCATGTAGTCGATTCCTAGAAGCTTTCACACCAAACATTCTCCTAGTTGCCCCAGCAACAGATGTTATTGGTCCTACTAAAGTGTACATGCATTGGTCTTCAACTAATCTGATATATCTTTAGGCGTACTTAACCCTACGTACTCTGTGACCACGTCAGCTCAAGATAGAGCAAACGGTTTAAATGGCCTCGACAATCGTCGGCCACATTGCAGAGCCGCCAATGCCACTTCCACCATCTCCTTTTAACTGCCTGATTCCTGAGAGATCAACAGACATATCCGAATGCTGAGACCAACGCGGAACCTGGCTATCGGAACGCCTGACTTATTGATTATTCCCCAAGGAAAAGCGTCTGAACTGAACAAACTTAAGGCTTCGTACATCTCCACGTAGACGGTATGGCACGAAGGCGACGAAGACGGCAATGGCAATGATAAGCTGCGTGTCCGCGGGTTAATGTGGATAAGCGTGCTCGCCGTTCTCTCTTCTCAGGCCCCCCCATCTAAATTGCATATCTCCTTCTTGTGGCGCCGCTGCTCTCAGCG